ATTCTTATTCTAGATGTTGGAAATGGAGATGAGAGCTCGTTCTTTATAAGGTTTTCAAATATGATTACTTTTTTTTTCAAAGATAAGTAATTTGATGGGGCCAAACTAGATAGAGTTTGTAGACTTCAGAGTTTCTTCCAAAATTGATTCTCTATGCCAGTCACATTATGTAATGCGCTAACCTTTAGCCCAATCTTGAGCCATTCATTCAGAATGACAACTCATTTCATTTCTTTTATAATAGAAATCGCTTTTATGCCTGATGTTATTCCCATAATCTTTCCATGGCCTTGCAGGCACTGCTCGTCTTCATTCTTTATGTTCGATGTACTGCAATAAACCCTGCAGATCCTGGAATTATGTCCAAGTTTGGAAATGGAGTTCCAAATGGTATCGATCCAAATCACAGGTTATCAGCAAAAGACTTGCCGAGAAAGTTTGAAGAAGCCACCACAGGCCATTCTTCTCCATCATCAGTTTCCAGAAGTTCTTTGGGTGGAGCTAACTCTAGTAGGAAAGGGTCAGTAGGAGAACTTGGGGTTGTCAATATTCCAGAAGAACCCACAACCGGGAATTGCATTGGAGGAATTTGCTGTGCGTTGTTTGTACACGAAGATTGCCGCCAACCACAGGAAGGGGCAACTGAGAATCAGGGTGGTGAAGATGCTTTGTTCTGCACATTGTGCAATGCTGAGGTTTGGCATTTTTACAAACGTAGTATCATAATTTCTCAATTTAAAGATTCATCAGTTCTAGTCTTTTTAGTTCTCATGTGTTTCTTTATCAAGCTACCTACTCCTAAATTATTGTATGGGAAGTTGTGAATCTGCTTCGTTTCCAAAGAAAAAGCTATAGAAGGGTTTAAAGTTATGATCTCATACTCCCTCTCAATAGATTATTGCCAGTTGACTTGTTTAAATATTCTTTTTTATTACCCATGAATACTTTTCATGTTGCAGGTCCGCAAGTTCAGCAAACACTGTAGAAGTTGTGATAAATGCGTGGATGGATTTGATCACCACTGTCGGGTATTTTTCTTGTTGCTTCAAGTGCTCCATATGGGCAGATCTTCTGCAACTTGTTGTTGGTTGACATTTTTTAAAATCCTCTCTTAAGTAACCTCAATATATACATGACTGCAGTGGCTTAACAATTGCGTCGGACACAAAAATTACATGACTTTTATATGTTTGATGGCCACCAGTCTTCTTTGGGTAGGTATTGCAGTCCGATGATTATTAAATACATTTTTAATCTTTGTGGTACTAAGATGCTCTCTGTCTCCCCCCATTTCGGTTCAGCTTGTTATTGAAGCTGGAGTTGGTATTGCTGTCCTGGTTCGCTGCTTTGTTAATAAGACAAACATGGAGGCAGAAATTATTGATAGACTTGGAAATGGTTTCACACGTCCCCCATTTGCCACAGTTGTGGTACGTATTATATTTTAAATACTTTAAACTAAAGTTAGCTTCCTAATATTTTTCCGGTATCAATTGTAAAGTAATCCTCTGTTGACGTTGGTTCTCATTTCTGTAGGCTGTATGCACTGCAGTTTCTATGCTGGCATGTGTTCCACTTTGCGAACTGTTCTTCTTCCACATGATACTTATTAGGAAGGTCAGTTCCTTTTCGTTGAATTCATTTTTCGTGATGCGAAAGTTTAGCCATAGTGGGGCTTAAGTGAAATAATCTTATGTTTTGAATTTGAATTAGGGTATTACAACCTATGAGTATGTCGTGGCAATGAGAGCGATGAGTGAGGCACCTGGAGGAGCATCTGTCGATGAGGCTTTCCAAAATTACATGCACTCCCCAACAGGATCGGCTACAACTGGCTTGAGTGGAGGAAGTTCTTTAGGTCTGCAATACAAGGGTGCATGGTGTACCCCTCCCAGAGTATTTGTGGATTATCAGGTACTTTAGTATTCACTTTATTATCTTGGTTTACATTTATTGAAACAGTTTTATATTGGCGTGCCCACTTAAAAACTTTTATTATCCTTGCTCATTGGATTAATTTTCTAAAACATAGTTACTCATCTCCCTGGTCTTAAGATAGAATTGGGCTGGAGCTTTGTCGATTGGTTAAAATTCTCTCTTTCTCATTTTGAAGTTCTTTTATTTCAGCAACCCCTTTATTCTCACCTTTGCCAAGAAAATTTGGGATGTAAATTAAATCTGCGATGTCTTTCATAACTTGCCTAGGTCATTACAGTTTGAGGTTTGAGCATGCTGTGTTTTTGTCAACATTTTTTATAAGGTTCATGTAGATTTTTGTAATTCCAAAACTTTGGTCTTTTCTCCATTGTTTCCTACTATTTCTCTATATTAATGTAGTGGCGATCTAACAAGGGCCCTTTTTGAATTTACGTGTGTGCATATAAAACAAGTTAATTTTCATGTCCAATTTCAAGTATGAGGATTCATTATCTGGATCCAGATGATGACTTAAATAGTACAATTAACGATTTTCATTTTTGTAAGGAACAACTCTTTTTCTAAATGTCTTACCGTTGTGACGTTGTCTAGCCTTTCAAATCTTCTTCCTTTCTCCATAATTTGTCAGTCCTCCTTTAGTGGCTTATTTTTTTTGAAAGGAAACGAAAGAATTTTATAAAAAGGGAAAGAATTTACAAAAGAGGAAAAGAAACCACGTGGAAAAGATATCCACCTGGAGCTAGAAGAAAACTAGCAAGGATCCCTACTGAAAAGATATCTCCTTTAGTGGCTTATAAGAATGGGTTCACAGCATTGACCCTCAACTACGTTTCCAGTCTTCAGTTTGATACTTTTATTTTTTATTTTTCAAGTTTACTATGAAGAAGAAAAACTTTATATGTATTTTATACTTGACACAAGCTTTGCTATGTTAGGAGGAAGTTGTACCGCATTTGGAGCCTGGAATGGTCCCATCAACTATTGATCCAGACGCAGCTGGAACTACAGAAAGAGAGCAAAAAGGTCCTAAAAGGCCTGTCCGCATTAGTGCTTGGAAGCTTGCAAAATTGGATTCCACTGAGGCCATGAGAGCAGCAGCCAAGGCCAGGGCATCATCCTCCGTTCTACGACCACTGGATAAGCCTGATCTTGAACTCAGTTCAAGTGGCAATATGAGTGTGCGGAGTAGTTTAAGCACTGATACGGGGGCAAATAAAGAGATGAAGAATGATCTGAGGTTGTCGAGAAATTCCTATGCTCCAAGTCAAGGTAGCCGAGATGAGTATGAAACTGGGACTCAAAGCGTAAGTAGCTTCAGTAGTCCGACCCATGTTCAAGAAGCGGTCACACTTAGCCCTCTGCCACAGGCTCCGGGTGTGGGACGTTTTAGCTCTGCCACTTCAGTCCCCAGCTTAGTTCCTGACCGTCCATTAACTGCCAAGGCAACATTGCCTAATGTCAGCATGGGATTTGATGAAAGGATCATGCAGAGAGGAAGTACAGCTGATCCGTTACAACTTTCAGCTCCAATTATGCAGAGGGGAAGTACTACTGATTCGATGCTGCTTTCAGCTCCACCTACTTCTCTTTTCAGGGATGTCCGAAGGACATCTGTTGTTTGGGACCAAGAAGCAGGGCGATACATCTCAGTTCCTGTGTCGGCTTCTGAAGCTCGAAACCGGTCATCCATACAAACAGGATTTTCAAATCCTAATGCAGAAGCAAGCTATAGTAGAAGACCAGTTATTCCGCCACGGGTGCCTTCATCTTCTGCAGCAAAGCCTCCAGCACAAGAAGTGGAGAAACTGATGTACACAGGGGATTCTATCTTCTTTGGTGGCCCGCTTTTGAGTGTACCAGTGAGGGATACTTTGAGAAATGAAAGGGATTTGGGTTTAAGAGAGGGCCAAGAGAGGGCAGGGCTGAACTTGCCTAGGGAATCCAGATTCAGACGTGATTCTACCTCAAACCAGCTTCCTGTTTTTATTCCGGGGGGTTTTGAGAACAACTCTTCTTTTTAGCCTGGTTCGAAATAGTGTTAAGCGACTGAAACAAGCGCATGTTAATCTCTTCCTCCTTGCCAGGATTGTGTGGTGGAGGAGCATGAAAGTCGAGCCAACCTTGTTCCTTGCAACCTGGCTGCTTGAGATTGTCGCTAACAGAGTTCTCGCATGGGGTTCAAGCAGTTTCTTCGATGAAATTCTGGTTCAACACACCGGCTCTAGCTGAGGTTTGTAAATGAGGCGATCGTAGAAATGTCTCTTGCACTTTCTTGACATTGTAGGCAAAGATTTTATGTTACAGAGCTCCATTTATGCTCTGAATTTTTATTTATTATCGTATCTTTCCCACTATTTGAGATGGAGCATGTAGATGTATATTTCCGACCTCCCTATATTCTGCATGTCTTACTGATTTGCTCAACACAATTCCTGACATTCACCATCGCTCGGGTTGTGACTTCAATTTACCGATGCTATGTGGTCTAGAGCTCCTCTGATGAAACGCGCCATGCGCTTGAGAACTTCATGCGAGCGGTCGCTGCATCAGCCTCACTGATAAGCGCACTTGCATGGGACTGGCATGCGCATGCAGAGAAAGGCTGACGTAGTGCAGCGACTGCAGTCAGGATGTTCTCCATGTTCTTGGATATTTTGAGGGAATTTTATCCACAGTAACATAATCAGAAGATTTTCTCCGTGTTCTGCGATATTTTGAGGGAATTTTATACACAAAACATGAAGGGATCGGTCCGCGGTTTATCCACAAATTCTATTGCGTTAACTGTTTATAAGGCATCGTTCCAGCAGATCAAACCGGTTCAATGCTGGATTATAAACACAATAGATAAACAAAGTAAAAGCGAATCCTACTCGCAAGACATTAGTATGATCATCGCGTAATTATGGTTTCCGGCAGGCAAGATAGACCGATTTCAATGGCTCATAACTCAGGCGAAAGCCTTTACAAAGAAAAGGGCCCTGCCAAATGGGGTCCTGGATAGATATAAAAAGACCAATATGAATGCTTCTAATCTTACACAAATGATGCGGAAACGAAGATAACTTAAGCAGCTTGTTTATCATTCATTGGCATTGAGAAGCATATCCTGATGTGCAAAAGCTTCAAATATATTTACTACCGATACAGTACGAGCTAGTATATGACCTACAATATAAAGCCGACTGACTACCAGTGAAGTAAGAGGCTAATGTCAGCAACAAACACTGCAAAAAACAATGATCTTCCTTGTATATTGCCTCCAAATCCCGTCAAACGATGCACCAGGCTTTCTAGCATACGTTTGCAGAACAGTAACCTGCATAAAAATCCATCATGTGATAAAGTGATTAAAAACTAATTATTAGCTTCCTCAAAATCTTGCTACAGAGTTCGGACATGAAAATAAAGTCACGAGTTTACATTGACATCAGCTAAGCTTTTATCATCACTCACTGCAGTTTCTGGTTTAGACAGTAAGTAAGAACAACTACCACTAATTTTCTGGGCAATAAAACATTACGACAAATAATGCCATCTTTTCTATCGAAATGATTATATAAGAAAGTTCGATGCCAAAAAGGGATCAACAGCCTCAACGGTCAAGGGCCAGGGCTACCACCACTAATAGAGCTATAATTTCCACTTGGATGATTAAAATACTAAACATGCATATTAACCAAAGCTTGTTTTCTGTTTACTGTTGACGCCTGCCAAAGCAATAGGAGAATATAAGAACTGAAAACATTCGTCAATGAACCTTATCTGTCTTGAACTAAAATCCATTTTCAATCTCCAAGACAGGAAGAAAAAAGCCACAACCACCCCCATGCCAGCAGACCATGCAACAAACAATGACAATACTACTGCAACCCTTTGCACACAGATCAGAACTTCACTTAAATCATCCTCTCTTTTATCAAGTTAGCTACAGTCTACAGACAGTTTCCGAATAGAAACTATCCAGATAAAAAGCTACTCAAGAGGAGCTTTGAACATCATCTCTCTCTCCATGTAAAGAAACTCTCCACTGCACAACATCTTCTTCCACCCCTGAACCTTCACCAATTGATCCGATCTTAAAACAGTTCCATATCCAGCATAAAATAGTTAGGCAAGGCATGAAAAGTATTGGTGTTTATCCCCATCAGGGATTGTGTTGATGTAAAAGGAATGGAAAGTTAGAGTTGTGCCATGTTTCAATCTATTCCTTTACTTTTATTAATAAATCGAAATACAATAAGGTCATAGTGTCATTGAGAGATATAGATGCAAGGGAACTATGGAAAATGTAATCATTTATGAAAAATTAATCCCCAATACAGCACTGTGATAATCAAGTAAAATTTTGCAACAAACAAGAACATTAAGATCTTAGAATTATATTAAGATATATACTCTATTAATAAGATTAATCAAATAACTTACTAAGACAACATGTGTATTGGAAGCACAATCAGATGACTCACCAAGCATCATTCATTTCCATTTGGAGCAGATTCTGGTATTTCTGGAATCCTCTGTTTTGCAATCCGTTCAATCAGAAGTTTCACTTCCAACTCTACATCTTGCAACCTGTTACTCAGTAATTCAACACTCTGGGGTGTGCTTCAAATTTGCTAACCCACCCAGCTTCAAAGTCCTTAATCTGTCTTTCAAGCAGCAGACGGGTCATCCTTTCCTCTTCTTCTTTCTTTAGGCGTTGCTTCGCCAGTTCCATGGTGCTCAAAACAAGACCACCTGACCCAGGAACATCCCTGTAGAGTGGCTCATCAGATTGTGGACAACGTGCTCTATATTCAGCAAATGCTTTTTGTGTTTCCTTCAAAGCCTTCCTATAGCCATCCAAGAGCTTTCCCATTACATAGAGTTCACGCTCAAGCCGATACATCTCCATTTTTCTCTTCTGCTGCTCTTCAGCCTTGGCCCTCTGCAAGTGACCAATCACCTCCTCCCTTTGCTGTAACTCATCCAGTAACATCCGCTGGTCAACCATCGATTGCTCGCAAACTTGTTCTTTCTGCGTATACACCATCTTAGCCTTTTCCATCCAGTGCTGCATTTGCTCCATGCACGAATCAAAGTCACCACCTGACATCTTACCATCCCAAGGGCCACCCATCCTCAACCGCTTATTACCATTGAGAGGATGATGAGAAGAGTTATCATTTTCATGGACAAGCTCTCTCTCAAGACCACCACTTCCAAAAAATGAGGAACTACCAGGCTGCATTCGACTATCGTCCCTTGAAGAAAGAAACTCCCCAGCAAACTGATCACCCATTGACATATCTAAACTAAGAGGGTTATGTGCTACTTCCATTGGATGAATAAGACTACCCGAGGCCAAACCCTCTAAAGGCCTATCCTTAAGTGAAAGGTGAAAACCTCCCTCCTCCTGCTCCTCCTGCTCCTCCTCCTCCTCCTCCTCCTCCTCTTCTAGTTCCTCTTCATTTCCTTCTTCATCTATTCCTTCAAAAAACTCCATATCTTTTTTCCCCTCCTCGCCACAATCCAAATTAACTCCACGAAGATTACACCGCTGCAAAACAGGTTCACTTGCACTGCCCTGCCCACCCAAAAACCATTGGCCAGGCTCTTCCACCTTACATTCTTCAAAATCCATTACATCCTCAACCCCAACTTGCTCCTTCTCGACACCAGATTTCTCGAGGTTTTCTTGCCCAACATCAGTTCTATCAACATTGTCCTGCCTAATATCAGCTCTATCCAGAATGCCTTGCTCTTGCCTAACATCCATACTATCCACATTGTCTTGCTCTTGCCTAAAATCATCTGTATCCACATCGTTGTCTTGCTCTTGCCTAAAATCATCTGTATCCACATTGTCTTGGCCAAGGCATAATTCAATGTTGTGCTCTTCCAATCCGCCGTGTCCATGTAAATCATCCTCCCCGCCCATTTTTACATCCCTGCTACCATCCTCTTCCTCCTCCTCTTCTTCCATTTTTGCATCGACATCAACCGCATCAACATCAACCGCATCAACATCAACAGCATTAACATCAAACTGAGGAGTCTCTTGTTCCTTCACCGTAAGGAACCTCGCGTGCTGTGATTTTATCAAACACTGCAAATGTGACGCATAGTAACAATCCCCCAATTTAGGGGCCTGAGCCAACTCCTTCTCCACCATGAACCAAATCAAACCAGCCCAGTCCATCTTCACAAAATGCCCCTCTTTGATTGCCTTAGTCCAATTCAACACCTCGCTCGGCATCATCCACGTATCCTCGTGCAAAAGCACCCAATTCGATACCAATTCTTCGATAAAAGCTATGGACTCCTCCGAAGCAGCCTCTGCAGGAGGCTCCTCAGCACCATCCGCTACTGGCACAGCACCACCCTTCTTCACCGGTTTTGAAGGAAGCTTCAAGGCCCGGGCCAAGTCGGCCCGGTTGACCTTAACCTTTGACCCATTGACGTAGCTGCCCCGCTGGGTGGGGTTGAAACTGGAAATTAACTCAGCGAGAAGATCAACCCGAAGATTCCGATCAAACTCGACGTGGACGAAGTCCCACAGGTTGAGCCGCTTCAAGAGCTTCTCGTGCTTCTCGAAGTCGAGATTTTTGGCGGGCACGAAGGGAATTGGATTTAGGATCTCTCTCTGGGTCTGAAGCTTCTGCTGGGCCTTGCTGTTCCCCGAAGCGGCGGCTTTCCGCTTCGAACCCAACTTCTTTCGCTTCGTTCCACGGCGGTAGAAGGTAATGGTGGTGGTGGTGGTGGTGGTCGTGCCACGAGGAGATCGGGCGGGAAATTCATCGGATTTGCCTTTAGGGCTTGGCTGCGATTGGAGAGGTGGGTTTTGTTGGATATCTTGGTCTTGAGGGGGGTCTAGGGTTAGGGTTGTGGATTGGGAATGTGGTGGTTCGGAATGAGGGCTTTCTTGTTGAGGGGCTTCTTCTTCTTCGATTTGGGTCATGGTTGTATCGGGATTTTCAGCGGGAGCAGTGGCCATGGTGATGATCTGGTTCAGTGGAGGGTGGAAGAAGAAGAAGAAGAAGAAGAAGAAGACGACGACGACGACTGAGAGATGGTGAAGTGGGAGTGGGACTTGAACGAAAGGCGGAGGTCTCCTTTACCCTTCCATTTTTCGGACGACTTTTGTCCTTCCGAAACGAAACGAGTAAACATTTTTTTGTGTTTGGAAGTAATTTAAAAATAACTGAATTTAAAAAATATATATATTTGAAGTGTTGTTTACATAAATATCGTTTCTTTCAAAATGCACTTCAATTATTATTTATAATAAAAAAAATTTCATCAAGATGTTTTAATCATTTTATAATACTTTTAAACGAGTCATTTTTGAAAATATATGGATAAGCAGAATCCTTGATAATTTTTTGTCGGTTTGATGTGGGATACATTTAGTTTTCATTGAAAAAAGCGATATTCTACGCACTAAGTTACACCGGAAAAAGGAGGATTTGAAACTGTGATGCAGTATGTGTTGAAGAAAAAAATTCTAATACTTAAAATAATTTTTTATTTTTAAACCAACACTGCAATTTGATCATTTTTTGGTGGACCAAGACTGCAATTCGATCATTGTGTTATTTCACATCCTAGTCTCGACTCTATCGTAGTATGATATTGTTCGCTTTGGGTCGCCGCCACGCCCTTACGATTTTGTTTCTGGAAACTCACACGAGAACTTCCCATCCTAAGACCGCTCTCGTCCGAACTCGTTTAACTTTAGAGTTCCGATGGAAGCCGAAGCCAGTGAGTTCCTAAAAGGCCTCGTGCTATATGGAGGTTGGCATGTATATATAAAGCAGATCACCTCATCTCCGTTGATCGATGTGAGATGTCACATGTTAGGAACCAATGCTACAATTTATTCTCAAACATAATTAGAACGTTTGCGTCTCAGTCAAATTTTACAATATTTTGTTGCATTCATTTCAGCAATTACAATTCAATTCCCAGGCAGAGGTAGATTCCTTCCATTCTTTTGCCATCTTCTTTGCTTAACCCAAAACATAATGATTTATGGAAATACAACGTGTGATAAATAATTTTCAGCAAGTTCCATTGGCTTTGACAAGCTTAAGGATGATTTACAAGTGTTTTTATGTTTTGAAAAGGATTTACGAGAGTTTATGATACGACATTTTTCGATTATTAAAAAATATTGCCACTTAATATTGGATGAGATTTCACATTCAAATCTCCCACCTCAACAAATTTATGAAAATATCGATATAGATTTGCTTCGACGGAAATTATGAAAACTTGCAACGGTTGGTATATCAACTCATTTAAATTTAATCGAAATTAAAGAAAAATTTCTCAAAAAAAATTCAAAAGTTCGAAATCTATAGTTGGTTTCAAAAAAATTTATGTACTGAATCGGAAAACATCGTCGATCTTCATTGATTTTTCTATATCTTGCTGATATAGGGTGAAGTTTGTATTTCACCCCATTTTCCATATCAATCCTTACTCTTTTTATATTTCAACAAAAATATTAACAATTTAGTGAATATTTTAAACACTGGTTATGGTTTAGATTATCCACATGATTCAATGTTGGTTGATGCTCTCATATATAAATTTTTGTTTAATTATATTGTTTATATTATCCCCAACAAACAACTCCATTATCAGGCTTGGACGTTTGCTACAAATATAGAAAAATGGACCAGAAGGCTTTTCTAAAACGACTCATTGCCAGATCCCATGAACCAAATGGAAAGTGTAAACGGTAGTAATGATCTATTAACTTTAATCAAATTGTAAAAATTATTCCTCAACTAAAAATACATTATCATTAGTTCCTCAACTCATCAAAATATGTAGCTATAGTATTTTTCGTCAACTTCGTCAGAATTTTGTCAAAATAAGTTATGTTGGAATGTCTATTGTTACAATTGAGGTCCCTCAACTAATCAAAACGTGTAACTATGATCATTTTCGTAAATTTCGTCAAAATGAGTTATGTTGGAAGGACTATTGCTACAATCGGGTTAAATTTTGAGGGACCATTGTTCCAATTGAGTTAAAGTTGAGGGACCATTTCTCCAATTAGATTAAAGTTGACGGACCAATGGTAATGAATTTTTAGTTGAGAGATTATTACTCCAATTGAGTTAAAGTTAAGGGATCATTGCTACAATTTACTTAATAGAAAAATATATGTTACTTTTCTCCCTTGGTGCTTGGTTATAAATAGGAGCCAGTGGAGCAAGAAAGACTTCAATGAATGAAAATGTTGCGTTACAAAAGTTAAACAAAATATTTCACTGCTATATATGAAAGTTTAACGCTAACACATTACAAAGCGTAAAAATTTAACGCATAACACATTACGACGCATAAAAGTCTAAAGCATAAAACATTGCGATGTACAAAAATTTAACGCATAGTAGTATGTAATTGATTGAGACAGAGACATGTTGTAGGTTGATATGTCACGAGGGAGTGGGTGAGTTTGCATTTAGCAAGCGATGTCATGTCTAAGAGAAGATTCTCTTTGTGAGGATTTAGGAATCCTCCAATCATATCCATTTATTGTATATCGTACGGTCAGTTTTTGTCAGGTATTGTTTATATTCAATTTTAAATAAAAAAAATTACAATAATTTATGACCGCATAATGTACAATGAACGAATGTGATAAGAAATCCCTAAAATCCTCACAAAGAGAATCCGACGAGAATCCTCTCGGTCATGTCCCTATCCTATGGGCCACTTGGATCAAACACGACAAACCTTAAAATAATGAAATGCGACATTGACCCCAAAAAGCAAATCTGAAACACGGAGAGACACAAAAATGAAAATGCTCCTCGGATATTTTGAGGGAAACCAAATGGGAAAATGCACATATGTGTTGGATAGTGCTATTTACATATTTTTTTTTATTATTTACATTTTTTTTTAATTTGATTGTTGATTTTTTTTTTCAAGTCATTGGACCCTGAAGGTTAAAAATTAAAAAAAATAATTTAGAAGTAAAAATAAGTGTGTTTGATACCACTATCATATTATTTTAATATTGAAGAAGATAATGAAGGGGGAAAGATGACAAATGTTTGAGTCATTGTGCAATAAAATGCAATATCTGGTGAATAATTGATTTATATTCTAATGCCATACGCCTTTTGCGTCTTTATTAGTACTATTTAAAACATTAATAAAATGGGATAAAATAATTTTTATGAGGTATTCCACCACATATTATGACAGATTTTCACCTCCTCAAAATAGTACGCAAAACGTTCTTCAAATAAAAAAAAAAAAAGAAGAAAAAAAGTACGCAAAACATAGTCGGTTAGTCCAAAAAATGTATTTGTAATAGTTTGAACTCAAATCTGGAGTTCCAAATCTTTGTTTAAATCTTGTTTTTAAAATGCAATTTTAGTTTCTGATATTCATATTTAGATGTGAACAATTCAATAAATTCTTCAAATCATACACAGACAAATTGTGGGAACTTCTCCAATAATATTTCAAATCTTTGTACCTCCTTTCCCAACTTTTATTTCAATTCAACTAAATTTTTGTTGTTGTAAAGATAAAGTAGTCCTAAAAGTAAGCAAGTTAGCTAAATAGTGTAAATATTCAAGTTCAAATCTTCTTTTATGTAACGATATTATATTAGAATATCGTTCAAATGGAAAAAAACTGTTACAAGCAAATCCCACATTTGCGATGAGGTTGAAGAAAAAAGATGATTCCGCGTAAAGAGATCAAATCTTTTGCACTCAAAATGCGTGTGGCATTTTTGTGACCTATGATGGCCGCTTGAGCAAAGGAGCGAAGTCAATGATGATGATATTGTACTGACCATCATTATTAAGCATTGGTGATTTGGATAATAAAGGCAAATGTAACGGGCAATGTGGTAATTGAAACGTATTTGGACACATTTGGCGACATCGTTCATTTCGCTTCAGTATTGGAAAGACCGACCCGTCACCAAAGGGACTCTCAGTCACTGAAGAACTCTGCTTCTCCTCTGCATGTTTTGTTGCAGAAGATAAAAGTAATTTCAAAAGATGGGGATCAGTAGTTTTCTTCGATCCAATCTCAGAACCCAGGTATAAAGTCTTTAATTCCGAATACCCATTTGGTTTTTTTTTTTGGATTACATCTTCCTGTATGTGTTTTCTGATTGATATGTTCTGGAAGCCACAGATTGAAGAACAAGTTGTGAGAGTATGATTGCTGGTTTGATAATTTCGTTTTGTAGATTTTTGATAAAGTTTTGATCTTTCTGGTTTGATCAGTTTGTTTGTTGATGCCTTTTCCTGCTTAAAGTCTACGTTTCTTTGCTGAAATGTTGGAAAAGCTAAAATTCAGTTACCCTTTTGATTTTCTTCGACTTTTTACGCCTTATGCTTGAAGCTTTGTGTTTCTTCCTGGCTTTGTGGATCAACTTAAAATTAATAAAAAAGAAGAGGAGGGGTTTGACTGTTTGGTTGCTGAGAAAATGCTGGGAAAAAATAAGGACTTTAACTGAGTATCTCAAACTCGTTTTTAATTGCCGTTTTGTACAGTTGAAGTTGGGATCAAAGTAACGTTGTAATTTAGGTTTGTTTCTTAAATTTATCGCTGCCCGTGCCTTTTATGTGCGTGTTATGTTTATATGAATATATTTTGGCTTTTTCCTATTCAGTTCTAAAAGCCATTTTGTTGCTGAGTAAATGTTGTAAAGGGAAGATAAATCAAATGTTTAGTTTTAAATATTTGGAACCAGGGAACATGCGAAACATATAACTAACTGCACCGGCTGATATAACCTGTCTCATAAAGTGTTACTTGTTAATGCCGAGACGGTCTTCCCATTTTCTTTGTTACTTCTAAAATGCTCGTAAAGATTGAAAGTTTATTTTTCTCACAAGTTAACGCCCCATTTGTGATGGCGAGTTTTATACATATGATTACACACACACTCACTACACATTTGGAGAAGTTTCAATAATTTCCATCTTTCTTGTTTACAGCTTG